GTGAGCGAAAGCCCCGGCTTAGCGTGAGCTGAGGCCGGGCAAGAGTGAGCTGAGGCGGCGGGGTCGAGAACGGCGGTCCCGGCGAAGGAGCGGTGAAAACGGTGAAAGCCGATCCAGCGATCCACAGCACTAAGTTGATGTATTCTCTCAGCGACCAGCACGGATCAGCTCTAGGCATGACGAAGCGGATATCGTCCTCTTTTGGAAGACTAAACAAAGTAGTTTCGCTTTCACAAAGAAGCGCACAACGTCTTCATGACATGGCGGCAGCGGCAACAATACTACTACAGTGAGAATAAAAGTTACGCCTTCTTTCTTGCGTGAACATTTGCACTTTAGTGCAATTGCACATCATATGAGCCCTTTAAGATCGAGCTCTGAGCTGCTCCTATTTGTTTCTATGGCAATGCTCGAAACAGCAAAGAATGATCCACTGACGATTATTTTAGGGGAAAAAAGAAACTCATAGAAAACAAGTGCACCAAGTGTAATTGGCAAAAAAAAAATGCAGAAATATGCATATCTTCAAGTTCAGCTGATGAGGTTGCTGCCACTTTATAAATAAATAACAGCAAAACAGTACTTTTTTTTTTTCTTTAGATCATATCCTTACCAATATTTACTGAATCCTCCCAGTCCTCCAGAACCTCGGTTACGATGAGAACATAGACATACGTTCTATGCTTTCGGTCTCGGTTCTGTAAAGAAAAACTATTTTTAACAGCCTCGCAGGAAATACTACGTCATGTATACAAGTATGCTATGCTATACATTATGTTCAAAAAAGGGGTTAAATGTAAACATTACATTCTACACAATTCTAAACACCTATTGTTGATTGCTTACCGTTTTAAAATAACTCAACTAAAAATGATCAAATAAAAAAAAAGTCTCAAACGCGGTAAACCGCAGACTTGTGTGTAAAAGCACCTGACAGGGAAAGCTGTATCAAATTATGTTTTGTCCATATAAATACATATTTCACTGTAATGTTATTAATGTTATTTTCATTATCGATTATTATTGATTAGCTATAGCCCCAATTGAAATAAAAAAATCTATAATGTGGCAACTTTATTCTCTTACTTTACCTTATGTACTTTATTCTCAATTTTACTAAGTCACCTTTATTTGTATAGCGCTTTATACAATACTGATTGTGTCAAAGCAGCTTTAGTGTTACAGGAAAATAGATTGTCAATAATGCAAGACAATAAGTCATTTTTCAGCTAAAGTCAGTTCATTGTCTTAGCACTACTATTAATCTTGAAACTTTGACTATTCTTGTTAGATGCCTATTACACATTTTATTCTCAAATCATGAATTTATTTATTTTGAATTTATTCTTGTTGACCTTGTTGTTTACCATCAGAAAACACTCACCTCAAAAACGCCTACCAATCTTCCTAATGTGCCTTTTACTCCCGCCTGTGGGAATAAAAAACAGAGTGAAGCACTGAATTCAGGACATTTATTACGTACTACAACATTTTAAAGCATCGTGAAACCTCTTATTTCAGCATGTATCAGCTTTATACAATACTGATTGTGTCAAAGCAGATTTAGTGTTACGGGAAAATAGATTGTCAATAATGCAAGACAATAACAGTCATTTTTCAGCTAAAGTCAGTTCATTGTCTTAGCACTACTATTAATCTTGAAACTTTGACTATTCTTGTTAGATGCCTATTACACATTTTATTCTCAAATCATGAATTTATTTATTTTGAATTTATTCTTGTTGACCTTGTTGTTTACCATCAGAAAACACTCACCTCAAAAACGCCTACCAATCTTCCTAATGTGCCTTTTACTCCCGCCTGTGGGAATAAAAAACAGAGTGAAGCACTGAATTCAGGACATTTATTACGTACTACAACATTTTAAAGCATCGTGAAACCTCTTATTTCAGCATGTATCAGTTCTTTGCAGATGAATATAAAAAATATTTCAAAAGATGATATCCACACCCCACCGAGTCGAGATGTGGGAAAGTTTGACAGAATTCATCTAAATCAGAGGGCCATATAAAGCTATTATTAGGATGGATCTGGCCCAGCAGTCTTTGCTTATATACTGCAGCAAACAAACCACTGCAACAGAAGTACTTCTCCGCCTGAGATTACTGGCTCGTTTGTGTGTTTAGCTTTAACCCGGCATAGAAATCCACACAATTGGAAGAATTCCTAGTATTTGACGAAGCCTGGAAACATCTTGTGAGTGTTTGCAGACGTAAGAGATGGAGAAAGATGTTATGACTGTAAAAAGCAAAAGAACAGAGAAAGACAAATCTGCAGCTAGAATGGATTCAATTGATCAGATCTCAGAATTTATCAACAATAGTTATTATTGCACTGGGTAATAACAGCAAGCAATAATTTTACAGCATTTATTAATCTTGGTTCATATTAATACTTAATTGATTGATATAATTAATTATGAACAAACATTAATTAACAATGAGCAATAGTATATTTGCTATTTACATTAACCAGTGTTGGTCATTACAAGAATTCATGTTAATAAATTAAATCTAGGGATGCACCGAAATTAAAATTCTGGGTGCACTTGGCCAAAAACCGAAAAAGCTTCGTAATAATTATTTATTATTTTATTAAACAATTTAAGGTAATTTTTAAATACTTTTTAATTCAACTCAGTCATTTTAATGATACTGAATTAAAAAAAAAAACAACTCCATAAAATAACCACACTTTTATTTAAACACAATAAAAAATATTAATATTTAAAATATATTATATTAATATTAAATATCAATTTTTTTTATTCAGTTCTATGCAACAGAATCAGAAACAACATTTTTTTTACTAATTATCCAAATAAAGTATAGTCCTACAAAGCTATTATTATCAGAGCATGTGAGCAGAGCATAGCGTCATTTCACCAGATTGCCCAGAACAGCTGAACTACACCATATACAGCACTGTAGCGCTTCTGCAAACAGGAACAAGTGTACTACACACAAATGACCTGACGGCGTCTTATTTGAGCGGACTTTGCTTTTCCGGTGAGCATGAGACGACTAGAGGGAGAGTGAAACCGGCGCAGCTTATATTTTCAGCCAAAAAAACATTTTTGCCTGATCATTTTTGGCGGCCGAACTTCCAGTGCATCCCCAATTACATCGCATTGTACAGTCTGAGGTTTGTTCAAACTCTACACAGTTCTGAATTCTCCAGTGCAACAGATTGCACATCAGGAGTCCTCCACTGGAAACTCTCCGAGGAGTGTAATTTACAGAGATAACATGTGCAGACTAGGGGTGTGCGATATATATCGTCTGCGATAATATCGTAATTGTTGTTTTAACGATGTGCGATTTGACATTATCGAGTATTTTGCAAAAACCATTCAAAACATCCCTACAGAGCGCACGCATACATTACGTGAAGTCTAGACTAGTGCGAGTGCGCATTTAGTGTGTTTTCTTTCACTGCATGATTCAGTCTATTAAAATGCATTTAGAATATCGAGATATAATTTTTTGTCAATATCGCACACCCCTAGTGCAGACCCAACACATAATCATTGTTTGTGAGGAACGCGCACCTCCTCGCACACCTCCCTGACAGCAGCAGCACTGGGCTCCTCCTCGGGCTCCATGCCTCCTCCAGGAACGATCCATCGGTCCGGATGACTGCTGCTGCTCACCAGCAGCACCTGACACAGACACAGCACTGCCGTCAGAACAGAGGACATCACAGACACGGCGAACTACAGGGGTGTCCCATCCTGCTCCTGGACATCCTGCAGAGTCCAGCTGGTCCAGGTGTGTTTAATTAGGACTCCGCCGGACTGTGGGCCTCCAGGAACAGCTTCGGACACCCCTGCTGCTCTATTACAACCAAACACGTTCATCAATCAAAGTGACGGGACATCCATCAAATGCTCATCGTAATAACTGATGATTATTAGCAGCTAGTGTAATAAACTCGTAAGCTGGAGTGTGTCATTTTTGGATGTTAAAATACTTCCTGCTATCCTGGCTTACTGTGCAATGGTCGAGATGAAAGCATTCGTAATCCTTTTACTTCTGATGAGTCTGAATGAAAGAAAACTCCAGGCCAAAGGATTTCAACGGTCAAATGTAAACAAATACAATTTTTAATTTGAGCTGGACAAATATTTCTTGGTTTAGCGTCATAAACGGAAGGGGAAAACACGATCTGCTTATTACAAATGTGTTCACAAACTCATATCTGATTTTGAATAGTAACTGTTTACTGTTAGCAATAACCTTTGAGGACATACTCCGGTCTACGTGGTCTGGGAAAAACACCCAACCACCTGTGCAGCTTTGCAGTTAATTAAGTTTCGTAGTAATGAGATGTCAAAATTAACAGAATGAGTAACTAACCCTTATAATGAGGGAGACTCATGATTAAAGGCAGCAGAGATGTATTCTATAACATGTGAACAACACTGTAGCTACTTCTGTAGCCTGATCTGATATTAGCCATCACATCAAAAAGTAGTAAATACAGTGAGGGTCTCAGATTTAGATAATAAAGTCAATGCCACTGTACAGATGATAGCCACGAGCCAGTGCATTTGATATTTACACCACACTGCAAGGTAAAAGCATGGGCTTTACACATGCAAAATGCCCCCAAAAATCAGGGTACGAGTCCGTAAATATTTGAATGGGATTACAAAACCACTTATGTTTTTAAAGTAGTAACAATAACAGTGGCATATTGGCGTACATTCTAGTTAGCGCGGTAAGTTTTACTAAACAGGTGACTATCTGATATGACTACAGATATGAGCAGACCTCGCTTAGCGGCCTTATAATAGCCGTATCCCTCATACACACGCATACAGCTGCAGCCATTCCTCAGTGCATGAGCTGGCTTGTGTGGTGCAGTGCTTGCTGGCATCACCTCCTCCTCGCGCTCGCTGCGGAAGCACAGGCAGGCCGCGCGCTGTTTATAGCCGTCTCGGTCATACGTGCGCGTCTGGCTGGACTTCAGTTTTATCATCGCGCTCAGCAGATCAAAGTCCTCCACCGCCGTCAAGTCTCACTGCGATCCCGCGCCCACAAACCCTTCTAAAGGCCCTCTGCTAACATATATAGTCCCTCCGTCGCTTCATTTTGAGAGTCTAGTGCGCTTGTCTCGCGCAGACGCCATTACGCTGAGCTCTGCGCAAACTGCGTTGCATTGCGTTCGTGAATATGGCGCTGCGCAGTAGAGGTGGCACTGGTTCAACGTTTACATATTACACAACTCCGGTGTGTTAAAGGGATAGTTCACCCAAAAATGAAAATGTGATGTTTATCTGCTTACCACCAGGGCATCCAAGATGTAGGTGACTTTGTTTCTTCAGTAGAACACATTTGATGATTTTTAACACAAACCGTTGCAGTCTATCAGTCGTATAATGTATGGCAATGGTAACAAAATCTATGAGAGTAAAAAAAACATGCACAGACAAATCCAAATTAAACCCTGCGGCTCGTGACGACACATTGATGTCCTAAGACACGA